TTTGGTAACTAAAGAGAAAAACTACTTTTAGTGTAAAATATGAAAGTGTAGATAAAAGTGAAAAATTCTTTCATATGGAAATGATCAGAACTGTCAGAATATTTGTGCTAAATGGACATTTGATATTTCTTGGAAAGAAAATTGATTAGAATCTAGTCCTGATTTCCTGAGGCAGAGAAAGAATTGTTCACAACCACACATTTGGATACAAACTCTAGGGGTGTTCTTTATCTATATTTCTCATTCCTCTATGCATGCCATTATGGCTGCCCAATTAGATTTTCTAAAAAACAAATCCTAGAGTTTTACTCAGTTATTCATATTGTTCTAAGATGCAGCTTAGTTGCTGCCACCATTGTCATCCTTATTGATAAAGGCTGAGAATCGAAACAGTGGGTATGAAATTCTAGATAAGATTTCTGAAGCTAAAGCTTTAAATTGTACATAAACAGAATTCAATGCATAACAAGTATATAGAACAGGTAGTTCAAAGTGCCCACACATTCTGTGTAACCCTGTGAGCAGATAAACTGTTAAATAAGTATCATATCTAGTATTTAACAACAGGTGAAGGGCAACAACCTATTTCCCACATAGCACAGAGCATCCCATCTCAGAATATGGGGTCCTGACTTCCCAGTAATACTGGATAATTGATGGCAAAGAGTGAAGATGATGAGACAAAAATTCTGATTTCAGGGTTTCCTCACAGCTGCCCCCAGTCCATCCAAACCTTCCTGCATTCAATAAGACCACAGGTTGAAGAAAAAGGGAAGTGGAGCATTAACTATAGGAACTGAACTGTGACCAGTATGCCTTCTCCCACTGGCTTCCCAGGTGGTGCTAGTGGTAAAGAGCCTGCCTCCCAAAGCAGGAGATTCCGGTTCGATCTCTGGGTGGGAAAGATCCACTGGAGGAGGGCACGGCAACCCAGTCTAGTATTCTTGCCGAGAGAATCCCATGGACAGAGGAGCCTGGCAGACTACAGTCCATAGGCTTGCAAAGAGTCAGGCACAACTGAAGTGGCTGAACACACATGTCTTCTCCCAACCTGCACTTGGGTGAATGATTTGTGCTAACTTGGTCAAGTGACTCAAGGGCACCTCATGCAATGTTCATCTCCAGGCAGACCCACCAGGCGGGGGCAGGAAACAGTACCAATGGAAGCCCACATACCATATTTCTAAATATTTAAAAATTACACCTCAAGCTAACATAGTGTTACTGAACCCTATGTTCCATCCTGTTGCTTTAACATGAATACTGTCATAACAATTGGAAACCCAGGTATAGGTCTGGAATATTCAGACTGCTCAGAGTTCTGTACCAGACCCTGGTCCTGAGATACCCTACTCTCTCTCCCACCCCTTAGTCCCTTTTTTTTCTATCCCAGAGCTCTGGTTTTCACTGCAAGGAGCATCTTCTCACTCATGTGTGGACTCCCAGCATATACTCCGAGGCCCAAGTCACTAATCTATCTATAATACATATTCACCCTTTGCCTCCTCTTGTGCTCAAGGATGTACACTCATGGTGCTGCTTGCCTTCAGGAGTTTAGACCCCAGAAGAAGTGTACACACCCTAAAAGTGGGTGGAGGACACATAGGTAGGGAATTCTAGGTTCCTGGCTATGAAGACAAAGTGGGGAAAGAGTCAGAATGGGCCCCACTAAGTAAGTGCCCCCTCTTCTAGGATGAAACTGCCCCCCTTGGCTGTGTACAGGATCAGAAACAAATCACTCCTACATCATCACAGGGCAGTCTAATTACTTTCCCAAAATACCAACACTTTATATACTTGAAAAGTGAAGAAATGTTAATTGCTCAGTCATGTCTGACTCTTTGCAACCCCATGCACTGTAGCCTGCGAGGCTCCTCTGTCCATGGAATTCTCCAGGTAAGCATACTGGAATGGGTAGCCATTCCCTTCTCCAGGGGATCTTCCCAACCTAAGGATCGAATCTGGGTTTCTTGCATTGCAGGCAGATTCTTTACCATCTAAGCCACCAGGGAAGCCCTTTCTATATAGCAGAACCTTGGGACAAAGATTTCTTTGAAGTTTTATATTCATCAAAGAAGTTGATGGAAGAAATTGTGTTTGTACTTTGTGGTAAAGTTGACTGACTAACTCATATATAACACTATATTAACCAACCCTAAGGGTTAATCCAAGTAAAGACCAAGCAAGAATTAGGGCCTTAAATATGTGAACAACTTAGTTCCCACTTTTTACCCCAATCCTGTTCTTAGGCATAACATTGTAGATGGAACCAGCTTTGCAAGAATGCTAGAAAACAGCAGATAAAATCCACCGAGTTGGGGTTTAATCAAAGTAATATACTCTTTAGAAGAATTTGAGAATCCAGATTAAAAAGAACATTTCATTTCCATTTGTTATATACCTAAAAGTGAATTTATTAAAAGCAGATCACATCACTTCAGGAAATTCAGGAAACTATATCTAAATACACTGAACGCAAGATATTCCTCATCAATTTAGATTCTTATAGCGTCATAAAGATAAAATGCAGATCAATAGATTTAGATCAGGCCTTCATTAAATTTTAGAATTAGCTTTTGGAAAACTGTATTGAAATGTTCAGTCTGATTCCTGAGCAGGTGACAAAGCCACGAGTGGATAATGATAAAGTGCATCGCTGCTGGAAATAACATAGTCTGCCTTTGGTTTGTGCTAATAAACTATAAGACAACTTAAACTTCAATTTTAATATTAGAAATCCACCTCATTATAAGTAATCCCAAACTCTGTATGTTATCAGCATTTTCATGTGTAGTCTTTGGTGAGCTTGAAATACAATTTGCTGTTTATGCTTCTAATGTAAATCTCCAATTTCTGGTTGGCCACTCCGGCACTAAGCCAGAGCTCTAATTTATTTCCATCTTTCCTTATTTCTTACATCAAAAGGGACTGTGGGTTTGAATAACAAACATTCAATCGACTTAGACGTGGGGTGGCAGGCAGCACAGGCATTACCTGTTTACCTTTTATTGCCTTCTTTGAATTGGCTTTTCTCGGAACAAAACCAGTAAGACATGCTGTTCCTTCATCTAGTTTTTACCGAGGATATTTATCAGAAGACATCCCCCTCCCCCAGTTCAGCAAGGAGCAGTGGCAGGGTGAAGAATTCAAACTGGAAGTAGGCGTCCAACCTAACACCATCATAGATTATTGCTCTACCAAGTCATGCAGGACTTCACTGTCCTTCAGACTCTGGCTTGGGCTGATAATTGTTTTTGACTCCAGGAGATGCTGTCGCTAACACATTTGCAACCTGTAGGACAACAGTGTGGTGGGAATGGAATACACACTGTTTTAGTCACTTTGGAACTTTGCACTGGTTCTTCCCTCCTCTCCCCAACTTGCTGTCTTGCACAGTAATTGGCCTAATAAAAGGCAGAAACAAGAATTTATTACACCTTGGGCGGTACTTAAAACAAACTTTATTCTCAGGAACAGCAGTTACGTCTAGTTGCTGCTGGGTATTTTGATATTTCCTGTAAATACTTAGTCTGAATATATTCAAAGTCAAATTGCTAATCACTCAATTTCCCTGCGACTTTCCTGGTTCCCCAGGTTTTCTCTTATGATACTCCATGTAAACACTGTAATTGGAAAGATACATAGATCAGCATCCCTAGAGTCACATGATCACATCAATCTGTGAAAATAGCATGACTTAAAAATAAAAGTCTCTTAGTACTCTGCCAACAGGCTTTGGCATAATCTTGGCAATCACTTAATTTTTTTTTTTTGCTGTTATAATTTTTCCCAAGTGGAAATAGTCTCATATTTTGCAGAAGTTGTCCAAGCTAGTGAACATCAATCCATCTTCCTGGGTACTAAATTCGTCAGCTGAGTGTATTCGGTCCACACAGGAATCAGTAAAGTGAGTGTGAAACTGCTCGGTGGCTGCTCCTCTCATCTTAAGAAACTGCAATACAAATTCCTGAAATCGTTTATGCAGGAATTTTTATTCTTTAAATCTTCCAGTGTTAAAGCAACAAGAAAACACTTAGAATGTCCTTTGGTGGAATCTTATTACACTTGTTAATATATGTAAACTGATATTCTTTGATGCCAGCAAGTTCGTTGCCCTTACAGAGAAATCTCTGCACAATGAAACAAAACAGAATGAAGGAGGACAAAATAAAATGTCAGTCTCTGCTGATTCGAATTAGATACATTAACAGATTGTCTGCTAACACAAATTGGCAAGAATACAAAAAATCTACATATTACAGTATTCCAAGAAAAATAACTTCATTTGAATACAAAAGGATAGATACACTTTCTTTTTTCCTGTAGCCACTCTTGGGGACAGGGGATGTGTGCTTGCACTGGGATGACTCAGTGCTGCTAAGATACACAGGGTATGACTGGCTGGAGCTTTTGGAGGGGGCTGTTACACGTGTGCATTACTAACATCAGACAAAGAAATCTTTCAACCAACAAGGGTCACAGAGCAACGGTTCACTAAAGCACAGGTTGGAAGGGGGTTCTGGGGCTGAAGCAGGCCAATATGGCAGCTTGTAACAGACTTCCTTAGACCCACGACGCACTGCCAGCAAAGGATGCTTCTATTTGGTTGGTCCACACACAGGGCCGGGTGGTGCTGGGGCACGCCACGTGCCTGTAGCAAATGTTTTTCGGTTGGTTGATTTGCTGTTGTTGTTGTTGTTTTTCTTTCCTTTTGGGGGGCTGTCACAGCCTTTCCGACGGGTGGTAAGCTCTGCAGCTGGCAATGTGATTCCCAGTGATAATATCAACAGCTGCCAACTCCTCTGGGAGTCAGAAATTAACAGTCTTGACTCAGGTGTGCTGTCCACGGCTGATAAATATGGCTTAGTTCAGTTAGGCCTTCTTTGTACACTGTGTTTGAGTGGGGGCGTCTGAGGGCGGGTTTCCTATGTCAGCAGCAAACGCTGGGGCTGTGTTTGCTTCCCCAGAGCACGGGCCCGTCTGGTGGCTGGGTGCGCCGCCTAGATGCCCAGGGGGCCGGCTGCCCCCAGCAGAGCGGCCAGCAGCGCCAGCAGCGCCGGCAGCGCGCGGGAGCCGCGCGGGGGCGCGCCCTGGCCGGAGTCGGGGCTGCAGCTGCCCGCCTCCTCGCAACGCAGCTTCTCGCAGAGGATGCCCGTGTACGCGGCTGGGCACAGGCAGCGCACGTTGTTGTGGCACGTCCCTCCGTTCTGGCAGTGCAGGAGCTCGTTGTCGCAGACATTCGCTGCAGAACGAGGGAGGGGGGCGCGGGGAGGAGAAGCAGAATCAATTTAAGTTCATCTGGTACATCATGTTTTCAGCTTAAAAAAAAAAATCTCTATCGATCTTGTGCTCCCCCCTCCCCTCCGCACACTAAGCATGTGACTCCGATTTCCAAACAAATGTAGTTTGCTGCCTTTGTTTTGATCATATTAATCCTTTTCATATAGATTTTTTTTTGCTGCAATCTTGGATATTATCCTTGTCCATTTCAGACTATCAAGTACAAAGAAATGTGATACTCCGGGATTGGCAGTATCTTCTCTTCACGGAACTGGGACCTGTTGTGACCTCCAGGGCTGTTCAAGGATGGTGCCTCATACAAGAAAGCAGGGCTTTGGAGCCAGAGGAATGGAATTAAAATGCAAAGCAGTACTGCTAGAATGACCAAGAACTTCTAAGGGGTGGGCCATTCTCTTTGCGGGTGATTCCAGCGCTGCATGCAGGAAGTCGGGAGCCTGCGGCAAGCATGAGCAGGGGGGGGGGGGGGGGGCAGGGGGCAGGCAGCATGCTCCAGGCAAGGTGGCAGCCAGATTCGAGGAGAGAAAGCTTTTCAAGGGAGAAGTGTGAGGAAGAGCAGTGCATTTGTGCCTAATAGCCTATTAGGATATTTATCGCTTTGTAAATATAGCAAGTAGAGTCCAAGTATACCCTGATTTCCAGGGATAATAATAAATGCAATGGTGAAACCCTGATTATCAAAACTTCACTATGTCCATCAATTAATGAAACCAGTCTGAATAAATAAAGCAAGCAATTTCAGATACGAAAATTCATTCACAGTCCCTGTCATGTAACTTGCATCTCTAATAATTTATTTCTTCAAAGATCAAGTTTTTCTTATTATTCCATGTCTCCTATTCCTTTAGATAATCAAGGTTTCACTGATTTAGCAGAATGATAAATAGAACACAGGGAAATGAAAACAACACCAAAGAGGAAAAGAGCTAAGAACACTTCCCAGCAACATTTACCACTTAAGCACTTACTATATAGAACAACTCTGGAATGGGGAGGGGGCTGGTGCAGAGCAGAAAAAGTAGCTTCTTATAAATTATACCATTCTTCATCTTTAAAAAATGTCATAGTCAGATTTCCCCAGTTTAACACACACGCATATTCATACTATCAAGTGTAAAGTATTTAAAAAATATAACCCTCTTCTCCCAGTCATAATTCAATAGAGACTATTGCCTTGTCCATTAATCATGTTCAATAGTTATGTCACCTTCAAAAGAAGCTTCTTAAATGTAAACATGCTAATGCTCTATGTGCAAATGAGCTGAGAAAAGATGGTGGTGGATGCTCAAGAGTTAATAAAAATGTGCCCTAAATAGGGCCCTATCTTCCCACCTTCCACAACAATTCCTTGGAGACCTCTATCATAGTTGTATAATGGATTGGTATAATTTTCAAGTTGTACCCCCACCTGCTATCTGTAAATGTTAGAAGTGACTATTAAGGCCTACTAAATCCTTCAGGCTCAAAATATTGATATACAAGGTAGTGTTTCAAGGGTTCTAATGAGTATGTAAGCTACGTCTCATAGGGTGACTTAGAAACTGTAAATATTAGATCCAAATTATAGTATTTTATGAGTCTTGGTTAAAAAAAAAGTCAAGATCTGTAGCTTTGAGGCAAAATCTACAAGAGTAGAGTGGTTAAACTCATGGTCAAAACTGACAACCCCCCCCTTTTTTTTGGTTGTTGTTAATTTGGAAAGCATACATAGGGTTTCAGGATTTTGTTTTGCTTACATTTCAGGAAATATCTGTTTAATTGGGGCAACATGGAATAAACAGATCCAAATAACTGTTTCCATTTAAAGTTAAAGATTCTCAGCATTTCTTGTTCCAGGCAGCAGATTGCTGAATGGGATATTTCCTTTCATTTGGGCACTACACATAGGGAAATATTGTTTCCATCAATATTGATAATTGCTTGCCTTGAATAATTGAGAAGAAATCAATAGTTAATTAAATATCACTCCCTGTAAGAAAAAAAAAAGCTATTTTTCTTCTTCTTGGACCTGAATGTAAATCAGTTGTTGAACAGAGGTTTCTTTTTTTCAAGAATCTGGTGATTAAGTTAAAATTCAATACCTTTCCTACATTTAAAAAATCTACTAGTTGATGTTGATGATTGTGAGAAATTTAATAAATACTCAAGGACCAGATGTAACCCAGGATTAATATTCACATTAATTGGAGTAATATGTTTTCTATAAGTGATAAGGAGAAAAAATGGAACCTGGCATATATTTAATTACTTTAGAATTTACTTTAAGACACATTTCATTTGGTCTCTTGTTTGTGCTATTCAGCAAACACAGAGCTTTACCAAATGCACAGATCTCTCTGTTGGAATCACATGTTAGAAGCACATCTAAACCTAACTACAAATTTTACCTGCTATTCATAAACTTATGCTCCATCTTCATGTTATTTTAAACCAAATTTGTGGTGCCTAATGAATAAACTAAGTAGTTAACAAATATCATTAAGCTCTTCTTCATCATATAAAACCCTGTACTAGAAATATAGATCAATGGAACAGAATAGAAAGCCCAGAGATAAATCCACGAACCTATGGCCACCTTATCTTTGACAAAGGAGGCAAGGATATACAATGGAAAAAAGACAACCTCTTTAACAAGTGGTGCTGGGAAAACTGGTCAACCACCTGTAAAAGGATGAAACTAGAACACTTTCTAACACCATACACAAAAATAAACTCAAAATGGATTAAAGATCTAAATGTAAGACCAGAAACTATAAAACTCCTAGAGGAGAACATAGGCAAAACACTCTCCGACATAAATCACAGCAGGATCCTCTATGACCCACATCCCAGAATTTTAGAAATAAAAGCAAAAATAAACAAATGGGACCTAATGAAACTTAAAAGCTTTTGCACAACAAAGGAAACTATAAGCAAGGTGAAAAGACAGCCCTCAGATTGGGAGAAAATAATAGCAAATGAAGCAACAGACAAAGGATTAATCTCAAAAATATACAAGCAACTCCTCCAGCTCAACTCCAGAAAAATAAATGACCCAATCAAGAAATGGGCCAAAGAACTGAACAGACATTTCTCCAAGGAAGACATACAGATGGCTAACAAACACATGAAAAGATGCTCAACATCACTCATTATCAGAGAAATGCAAATCAAAACCACAATGAGGTACCATTGCACACCAGTCAGGATGGCTGCTATCCAAAAGTCTACAAGCAATAAATGCTGGAGAGGGTGTGGAGAAAAGGGAACCCTCTTACACTGTTGGTGGGAATGCAAATTAGTACAGCCACTATGGAAAACAGTGTGGAGATTTCTTAAAAAGCTGGAAATAGAACTGCCATATGACCCAGCAATCCCACTTCTGGGCATACACACCGAGGAAACCAGATCTGAAAGAGACACGTGCACCCCAATGTTCATCGCAGCACTGTTTATAATAGCCAGGACATGGAAGCAACCTAGATGCCCATCAGCAGACGAATGGATGAGGAAGCTGTGGTACATATACACCATGGAATATTACTCAGCCATTAAAAAGAATGCATTTGAATCAGTTCTAATGAGATGGATGAAACTGGAGCCCATTATACAGAGCGAAGTAAGCCAGAAAGATAAAGACCATTACAGTATACTAACACATATATATGGAATTTAGAAAGATGGTAACGATAACCCTATATGCAAAACAGAAAAAGAGACTCCGATGTATAGAACAGACTTGTGGACTCTGGGAGAAGGCGAGGGTGGGATGTTTCAAGAGAACAGCATCAAAACACGTATATTATCTAGGGTGAAACAGATCACCAGCCCAGGTTGGGTGCATGAGACAAGTGCTCGGGCCTGGTGCACTGGGAAGACCCAGAGGGATCGGGTGGCGAGGGAGGTGGGAGGGGGGACCGGGATGGGGAATACATGTAAATCCATGGCTAATTCATTTCAATGTATGACAAAAACCACTGCAATGATGTAAAGTAATTAGCCTCCAACTAATAAAAATAAATGAAAAAAAAAAAAAAACCCCTGTACTAAACACCATGAAAAAATAAAAGAAATAGAAAGCATGATCTCTGCTCTTACAAAGTTTAAATCTGGTTGGGAAAATAAAATATATATACAAAAATAATATAATATAAATTTCATTAAAATACTTTTATCAGTTCTGTCCAGCTCAATCAGCATCTGTTGCATGTCAGGTGTGCTGCTAAATCGACTGCGGTATGGTTATAACTCTGTCTGCCCTAAAGGAGTTCACAGTTTTGCGGAAAACAAACAAATGAACATATACAGAAATAATTATGATACAATATGAAAAAAACTATAACGGAAGCAAACTGCTGGGGGAACTCAAATGCTGGTGCAAGTAATCATCTGGGGGAAGATTTGAGAAGAATATAGAAAGGAGATTGTATTTGAACAATGGCATGCATCAGGCAAATATTGGTAGAAAAACATTGTGGTTGGGGAAACTCTATCAGTAAAGGCAAGAAGATGTGAAAATACTTTGTGCTGACTGTTAAGCATTTGTCACTCAAGTCTAAATCCACCCTTTCTTCTGATGTTGAGGCTGAAACGCTGCAAATTTTCTCCTGGTTTCCACCAACAGGGTGCACTAGAGAGAACAGAGAAGGCAGGAGGAAGGAAGCAGAGATTTCCCTTTCCCTGATTCAGGGCTCTTCCTAAGAGTATTGTCCCAACAATGGCCCCACATCCCAATAGCAGCAGTTTGTTCTGGGGCTCAGCCTTTTCAGAACTAGTTTCAGTTTCTCAGAGACTGAAAACCCTTAGAGGTTTTTGCACCAGTCTGGCAGCATTCCTTCTCTAGAGGTGTGAGTCCCAGCTCCAAGGGGCTCCTGCCTAACATTTCAGGGATAATAGTAGCAGCCAGGCATTACCTCTCCTAAGAGGCATGGGTCCCACATCTGTGGGGTCTCTCCTCCAAGCTGT